GTTTTCGGCGTCTAAACACTTTCACAAAGTCATAATATGAAATATTCCGAATAAAGTTGAAACCCCCTTACGAGCCTTTCGCTTCTCGCAATTCCCAAATCACCGAAATCCGGGAGTGGAACTGTCTCCGTTAACGAGATACGGCCCTTTTCGGCACTTCCGGTTTGACAAGGCCCTAAATTAGGGTCTCTTGGGGTTTACGATTTTTACTTGATCGACGGACAAATTTTTATTTTTCCAGAGTATGCCAAGTGTTTTCAATAACTTTTCAACGGTTCTGTCGTATGTTTTATATTGTCTATAAAAGCCACTAAAAAGAAAAGCCGTACGATAAAGTTTTATTAGTATTTTTCGGTTCGTTCACGGTCTCGCCGTTTGCAGAACGCGCAATTTTTCAGAGACGGCGCGGCGAGCCAGCGGCAACCGGAAGTGGCTATTCTGATACACAAGAATAGTTTATATCGCGATTTACACCAAACACTGGGCCGGTATTGCCTAATTTCTATCACAAATAACTTTTAATGTCATGACACAAGCTTACATCGCTTCATTTGGGGGAGTGGTGTAGTAGTTTGGGGATAAGCCGGGTGTCCACGGCGGGCTGGATTGTAGAAAGGCCCGGCGGTCACAGCGTTCAGAGTCCCCGAGCCGGCCTGGGCCGGGCTCCGGCGTTCAGGGTTCATTTTGCGAATTTCTTAATCTATAAAAGAGATCGGAAGATTCTGGCCTTCCTCTGACTTACCCCCGTTTTCTGCCAGTCTTCCCTCACGAACAAACCTCTTACACAGACTTTCTAGGGGGAAGAAATTGTTTCTATGATGGGCCGGACTCGAGCTGCTCTCTGTCCCCCCACTGATCGCCGCGCTCTGCTCGACAACAACAACAAATCGGCCGAGTCGATGAATTCCCTCCTCGTTACATTGTCTGGTGATTGTTTTATCGATTCAGGCTTACGAAGTTTAATACTAGCCTGGTCCGAATTTTCGCCTCGCAACGCTGAAAAAAATCAGCGATGCGGAGCAAAAATCTGGACGGTAACGTTATCGTGGATCGGGCGGCAGGAGCCCTCTGCCGCGGCAACCTGTTGGAATGCTCGGCACCTGTTACGAGTTTTGCGCCGCGGGAGTTTGACTGCCGACGATGCGCTGAAATCTTACCGGGTGCGAAGTTACACCCCCATCAAACTGCTTTCAAGCCGTACCCGGAAATTCAAGCCGTGCCCGCTCACAAAGTCTGGCCGTACCCGGAAATACGTTCCTCCAGTTTTGAGCGTACATTCCTCCAAAATTGGTACACTTCTCCGCGTGATTGGATATTTCGCCGCGCCCACACCCCAGCCGGCCAGAATTTTTGAGCGGGTACGTCCAGAATTTTTGAGCGGGTACGGCCAGACTTTTTGAGCGGGTACGGCCAGACTTTTTGAGCGGGTACGGCCAGAATTTTTGAGCGGGTACGGCTTGAATTTCCGGGTACGGCTTGAAAGCAGTTTGATGGGGGTGTGTATATAATCTCCAAGCAGATCATACGGTGGCAAGGCAGTATCCATTGGCCAGAGGAGTGTCCATTAGCCACCGAAGATCTGCCTGCAGTCGAAACGTCAAAGGCTATTAACACCTAGTTGTTGCCTACTCAGAATGTGTTTGCCAAGTAGTTTATTGCCCTAACCACCGGGCAAGGCTATTGTCCTCCTTGTGGGGCTGCATGGTTGGCCGTTACAGGAAGTCTGTCTATGGGTCACAACACCAACTGTTATACATGTATTGGGCAGTTTTAAACAATGGATCCGGAGGAGAAGGTTCACCTTGTGTTTTGTAATGTCTGGCATGGGGTTTTAAATTTTAACCATAAGTATCCATTTCCATGTTTCAGAAAGCATCACAGTGCCAGCATACAGAATTGTATCTGATTCAGTTAGGGGGGGAACTCCCACTGAGATGTGCGCGGGTGACTGAATTTGTCCCAGATTCAAGCTATAAACCGCTTGTAAAAACCTTAGCGTGGCCAGTTTTTCAATTGCTGTTAATAGGGGCACAAGGAGGGGCAGCAACACCATTTTTGAAAGGAAGTGCTCCTCCCTGTGCGAGTGCAGGCAGATCTTCGGTGGCTAATGGACACTCCTCTGGCCAATGGATACTGCCTTGCCACCGTATGATCTGCTTGGAGATTAGTGTGTATACTCTGGCACCCCTGACGATAGAATTGGATGCCATACTGCTAAGTTCAACTTACGGTTGACAAGTTAGGAGAGTGAAGTGCATGGATCAAAAGCGCCTCTAGCAGTTTAGTAAGGGACTGCACCCTAATGTTAGCTATGGCGCTCCTTGTACTGCAGTAATTTACTTTCGCCGCATAGGGGCGCTTTTGATCCATGGCAATTTCAGCACATTGCTACATGCCGTTGTTCCCATTTCTGCAGTAATTTTTTCGGCCGCTGCCGGGCGTTTATTTTTAACCATAACGATTTCAACCCAAGTGTCTGAAACGGTCGATTTAAACCGGCAATAAAGACGGGCAGACTTCAGAGGAAAGAATTTTACCAAGGAAATATTTGTGGGAAATATAGAAGCATGATTTTTTTTGTCTGAACGGGTAAGATGGTGGTTTGATTTTTCTTTCATCATTGATTATTCATTAAACCTCATTTATTAAATAATAAATATAGTTTTAAAAGTTTATGCATCACACACAAAAAAATTACACCACAAAAAGTTTCATTCATGGCATCATTTATAATTTTCACATATTTCGCAACTGAAGATACAAGAAATTGACCATATTTGCAGATAGAAATACATATAGAAATACTTTACACACATTGATGAAATATCTACCTCTACAGGTTGTCACAGACAACAATCATATACATGTACAAGACAATTGTAGACTCCAAATAATTCAACCTTATTGAGATCTACCGGTATTACTAATCTACAAGCAGATGTTAGGTGGCCGCAACAAGTATCAAATTGTCCAGGCAGTATCCATTGGCCAGACTGTATACAATTGCCATCCAAATTGGGTGGAAAATAGATACAGTCTGGCCAATGGATACTGCCTGGCCAATTTGATACTGTCTTTTGGGGCCACCTTAACATCTGCTTGGAGATTAACCTATTACATCATTAAAGTCTAAGAGGCATTGTAGTAAACTTGATTCAGTGCTCAAGTTACATATACAAATTTGAATTTGGGTTGATTTTGTGAAATTTTACTATCATAGATTCATAATAAGGGTAGCACTAAGAGTTGATATGAAAGTCAGTATATATTTTGTATAAATCCAACTGTATAAAAAAGCCTCGAAGGGTTGTATAGATAGCTTAAACCACATTGACACCCAATGATTTGAATAGTAGTAGTAAATCAAGAGAAATCTGGCCAAGATACAAGCATTTTCAGTACATTCTACACATATTGCTGCAACGGTATGTCTACAAAACAACAAATTTCACTGAGTTCACCTTATACTACATCAGTAACACCCAACCAGACTGAACTATTGGTACATAATTGTCACATTCTGTAGATTGTAATTGAATGTCAATCAGTCAAAGTGAAAGAAAGATAAGATGAAAATAAGGATCATTTGCAACTTGAAAATGAAATGGGTATTTCAAAATCAAGATAACTGTGCAATTCTTTTTCTCAAACCTGGAGGAAGAAAATGTTGAACAGTGGAGTTTGAGTTTTGTTACAGAATTCCCCCCTTACCCTAGTTTGATACACTCAAGCCAAAATTGCACTGCACAAGCCTTTCTTACATCAAAGCATCAGCAATTGGCACTATTTATTATTATACATCTATATTCATTTGCGATACTTTTGTCAAATATTATATAATTATGTCCAATACCATACCACTGCCAGGACATTACTTTCATGATATTCAAACTGAGCAGATGACATATTTTACGGTCTATTAAAAATGATGCATTATTGCTTTTTTTTTAAGTTTGAGAAAAACAAATAGATGTGGTCAGGGCTGTGTAGTGGATAACATGTTTGAAACCAGCTTTGGTTGCATCTTTGGTCCATCTTACTTTAAGCCAGAAATAACAAAAACAACAGACTTTCAAAACTTAAAACACAACTGTTTGAGTGAAATACAAGTAAATAACTAGAACTTAAACATTCAACAATGTAATATAACATGACTATCCCTCACAACAAATTGTCTTCCCTAGAAAAGTCACCAAGCCCTGTAGCACTTTCAAAACGTAACTGTTACACGATTTTCAACCAATGAGATTCTGTTCTCAAGTCCTTCCCTTGATTCTTTGCAAATAAGTTCTCAGTTCAAATTCTGAAAATCTACTCCAAATCTTCATACTTTAACATCTTCTCTATACATCTACATACATGTAAACCACAGTTCTTGTCCATTCTCTAAAACTACTTCATTCAAATTTTCACCCCAAAATGGTGGGAATATAGAGCTCTCTGCACTTTATACTTACAGCCAATATACAAACCATTGAAACAACAATTTACAGACTATTTACAAGATCACTGCACTCTGAGGAATGTCTACTTGAGGGTGTTAAGGGGTTTTCTGGTAAACATTTACTTTTGTAAAAATTTTGTTACTAGATCCAAAACGTGTCTACATATTTTCCTCCTTTTCCAATACTAGTAAAATGGAATAATTAATATCAAGATACAGTTTTCTAGTCTGATGTACCATGTACCAAAAAACCCCTCACATACCCTCCTACTCTCAATGACCAGGGTTCACTGTGGGGGTAGCACTACACCCCTGTTTCTGTTTAACAATAAGTTATTGATTCAATCAAATTTGTCCAATTTTTATGTACCAAAACAAAAAGTGTCATCCATCTACATCAAGCACATACATTTGTTGAAAACAATGTGTCCAACCTTTTTATGGTTCCACTAGAACTTCATTTGCATTGATATACCGGATAAAAAACCTCTGCAGAACACTAGCTATGCTGATTCAGCAAGTCATAAAGACTTGCCTCTCATACATAAGACATAAGACTCTTGCCAAATTATGTTAACCTTCATCAGGCTAACAACTGTTTTAGTACCAAATTTGTACCGGTTATGGATCAAGGTGGCATATGGCAAAGGTTAAAAATCCTTTCAGTCCCTTCCATAGTTTAACCCTGCTAATTTCTTGACACCCTGATACGTACTATCATTTTATTGCAGAGGGTTTTAACTGCAAAAACACACTCAAGCTTACCAATAATTTATCGCCGCCCTCCCCACAGTGATTCCTGGTCATTTCTATCCTTTCTCCATCTATAATTGACTGTTGTACATTTATCTCAGTAGCCAAATGTCGGGCTATAGTCTAGTCAGAGCCCACGCGAGCGCGACCGTGAATAATGACGCGGTTAACGTCGCCGCTCTCCCAGTTAGCCGCGACGGAGCGCTGCTCGTTCTGCTAAAGTCGTAGTCCGGTCTCGGCACCGCCGTTTCTTTACTGATCTCGTTGTTAATGTCGCTGCTTTCTGACCAATCAGCATCTGTAAAGAGAGTAGGTGTTAGAACTGGCATTTAACATTCCTGATGAATATTTACGCATATAAACTTATTATGTTTACAAAAGGAAAATATACTGTTTTTGCTCAGTAGATCTATCCTCTTCTCCAAACATCCTGGAGGGACATGTCTGCAGCCGCCATGCATCTGCCCTGATGCTTGCGGCTTGATTGATTGAAACATCCTCTCTCCTCCTACCATTGAAGGAACTTATAAATCGATTTACAATTACTGTACAGAGTTGCTTATTTTTTACTGGGACATATTCGACTGGGACATATACCATATGTTTCTTAGTACACTACATTGAAATGATTGTATTGTTGATTTTTCAGCACTAAATTGTCCTATTTCTAACACAGTTTAAACTCTAGAGGATGAAAAATAAGAGCAAGACAAACTATTGCATGCAGCAAAAAGTCTCAGAAGTGTGAACTTCATACAAAAGAAACGGTGTGCAGCATTTGCAGTGACTGTGAACACAGCTTAGTTATTAGCGCTTAGAAAGTTGTGAAAGCCACCCCTACGTGTGATGGGAAGATGGAATAACCCACAGAAAGAGTGTAGAGTGCGGCCTTACCTGGGATGCGATTACTGGGTATGTGGGGGGGCGATCTTCTCTGGGTTTGCTCCTCCACTACATTGGGTGTTTCTGTGGCTGGGGGGGAGGGGGAGAGAGAGAAGCCATGTTAAAGAAGAGTGCAGCGACAGACAAGCCACAGAACCAAGAAACACCCAGGTGCAACGTGTTAGCCACAGAAGTTTCTGAAGTGTCTGAAAGAACCAAGAGAGGGAAGATATCATGTACAATTCTAGCACATTTTTTTAGTTATCCACTTCATTACTCTAACCATCAAGATACCCTGGCATATTGAATGGCACATAGTACAACAACGCCTCACTGTGGTCACTGTTGGTACTACAGGCTTTGGGACTGAAGTGCTGCTGAAATTCGATCTCCCAATGTGTGACAGAAATTGTACTGCTTTAAGGCTTTTTTTCATTGTTTCTTACATAGTCTACTTATTTTCTGCTTTCCTGACAATATTTCCTTACAAACTTAAAACAGTACATTCTTATGAAAATAAAATCAATACAGATAATGTAATATAATACCAAAAAACTAATTATTAAATGGTTCTGGCCAGCATCTTGAACATCTGGACCAGTACACTTAAGTGGAGGGGTGGGCAGGATACTTACTACTTTTACAGCAGATGGAAAGTTTCATCTTCATCCCGTTCACACAGTTTCCTCCAACGGTCGCATTCAGGCCCCCATACTCCCCTGTAGATGTGGCTGATGAGAGAACGACATTTCCTCATTAGGCAAAAAAGTAACAGGGCTATGTTGATGTAGTCTCCACCAGACTCCTTTGCAGGCTGAATAAATAGTAGAAATCGGCTAAGGAGGACATCATTGGCCAGAGGAGTTGGCCGGCCATAGAGGGTCCAGCTTGCCAGCACAGGCCGATTTCTACTATTTATTCAGCCTGCAAAGGAGTCTGGTGGAGACTAATGTTGATGAAGGTTAGACATCCAGGTTAACAATGCTATACTCATAGACTATTCAAACTTTACTACTGAATAAAATACCTGATCTACAATGTAGATGTTTCAAGTGACAACCATTTACTGAAGAAGAGTATGGATGTCACTCAAAATGTCTGGAAGTAATGTCCATATTTTATCTAGGAGTACAGTTGAAGTGAATAATAGCCTGGGTACCATCCAGATTTTTTAGAGTTGCAGAGCGAAAATCCAGATGGTACCCAGGGTATATGAAAAACTGGGTTACATACAAGTCAAGACATGACAAATTCCAGGACTTACTAATGACTCTACTGTTCCATACTTCTCTGAGGTAGCATTTAAATAGCTTGAAAGGAAAACTTGTGGTTATCAAAGTCTGATCTAAGCTGATGAAATGCAGGGGTCAGACACCAATTAGCTGGTATAGACAGGAAATATGTGCAGGATAACAGAACAGGTCCTGTAGTATTTTAAAACGGCGGTCATTAAAATTTTCCATTCCCTCACCATTCACATACGACCAACCTTTCTGAACTTTCATAAATCCCACTGCTATATTCAGATGTTTTCTTTTCCTTATTATTTGACAGGAAAGAATATTGTTTCCCTTGCCAATTATATACCAATCCTATGTCCTAAACCTATGGATAAACAGAGCATGTCAGAAGAATGTACTGCACCTGTGCGAAACCAACGATAGACTCGTCTTTAACTTTAAAGATGACATCCTGTCTATAGTTTTCATACAAGTCTGTTATGTCGGAAAAGATATTATCTGTTGCAGGCAATTCCGATGCAACCAAACATCCAACAAAAATCATGAAAAATCCTGGTTTTGCGCCGGTGCAGTACGTCCTGGTGTTGGTTGATAAACAGAGCCCAAACCACTAACCAGCCCCACCAATAGGCCCAGTTATTTGTCTATCAGCACTAAGTCCCTGTGGCTTTAGTCTGTCTGCTGCCACCCAAATGTTCTGAGTAATTGACTCTATAACCTTGGACTTATCTCACTTCCAACTCTACTCCTTTTGTGTTTTACAGAACTGAGGGGCTCACATAAAAAATCCATTTGTTCAAATGGAGAAGAAAGACTTTTTGGGAGGTCGAAGCTTTTATTACGGGATAAGATGAACATGGAAGATTCTGTAACATGATACGGTGTTTCTAAAAACATGCCCTAATCCACTTTAATCCCAGTTGATCCTGTATTTGGACATGTTCTGCACAGCAGGCAAAATTCATTAGGCTTTTACGGTCGCTCAGAAACTCTGGCACAATCAGTCTACCTAAAGCCCGGACTAAGTTCCTTCATTGCGCTGTTCGCCTTTATAACAAGACAATTCAACAGTAGTGTTATATAAATATCGTACCTAGCTAAATTCTTTGTTATAACTGCATCTTATGCATAGATTTGTGTAATTAATAGTCTCGTATATGTCTTAATATTGTGTTCGCCTATGTTGTTTCATGTGCACAATGAAGAGTGTCACAAATCATTGTTTTTAATGTTTTATATACTATGTAATAAGGACGTAATTCGGGTATTCGCCCGCGAGAGCCTTCCTGAATAAAATTTGATTTGATTTGATTTTACTAAAAGTTTTTGTTGTGATGGGGTAAAACTGCATATTCTGGTGCCATCCTTTTTGACTTGAAGTTCTCAGTTAGGCTGTGTGGGGAGTGGGCTGTGGTATAATTTCCTTGGGGGCATGTTGGCCTTGGAGCTGAGGAACTGGCCTGTGTTGGCCCTGGAAACAGTCTGGCTAGAAATTCAGAATATGTGTACCTTGTACATCTACTATAATCTGCGCTATTTTCTTCAGTCAAATTTTTGTAAGCCTTTAAATGAATCCTCTGGGAGTTTGGGCTATTTTCAAATCTAGGCTGTTTTCTTCAAAGATTCCAAGCCTTTAAATGAATTATTTGGGAGCTTGGAGCTATTTTCAAATATTATACATTTCACTCCTTGTAGTATAAAGTATGAAACAGAAATACGACCAAAAAGGTGGGGACTAGAGAATTCATAATAGTTCCCACCCCCCTATACATCTCAGCTCTTCAGAACAACTGTAGAGTCAGACTGATGCTATCTACTGCCCCAGCAGACAGGCAATGTGTTAAAGATTTACTCTCGCTGACAGATCTAAAGTCTACAGACAGCTAAAATACATCACTGTCTTCTGTTATGGACCTTCGCCCTACTTTCCTAACTTTATAGGGTGTTCCAGAATCGAAGACACTGTGGCTCAAGGTACATGTAGTGGTGGAAGTCTACAAATATAAAATTTGCCATTTCTTGCCTTCTCTGAGGGTCTGAATAGGGGATAGCTTAATGGTAAATTTTCCAGAGTGCCAGACTAGTATCAGGCCGTTAACCCTTTCCCTTCAGCAGCCAGAAGCGTTTCGCCACCCCCACTCCCCCCGTCTAAATTACTGCTATGGGGAGTTGAGCCAGAGTTTCTAGAGCAAATCTTTCTTAAAAGTTCTGGTGAGATTTTCCCCCATACACGTATGTCATTTTGAAACATTGCTGTCTTCTCTTACTAGCAATCTGATGACCTCCAAGTTTGTGCACACCATTTGAAATCTGCTTTTTATCTGATATTTGGTATCTTGTTTCAAAGATGCCTGTTTGAATTATAGTCTTATTTCCCAGCTTGACACCTTCTTGATAAAACCAAGCTTCCTCCTGGCTCCATCTTTAGATTAGACTTAGAGAAATCCCTCCCAGCCTTCAGCTGTAGTATCTATGATTCAAACATAAGGAAACTGGGACAAAGGTCTTCAACAGAGAAGACAATGATAGATTCTACGTTTGAGATCTTTGCAATCCTCACAGCTTGGAGACTCTTTGACACCAGGATGTTCAAACATTGGGGAAATAGTGTAAATTATACAGTCATATTTTATACAGTCATATTTCAAGTTCTTTCCACACTATATGGTGCATAGTATGATGCCTAGCCCTTGGGTCATACAACTTATAAAAATCTTTCCCAATGATTGCTTCTGCTCTGATTTAGGTTGAGATTTACATTTTTGTCAGTGCCCGTACTTTATTCAAGGATTCTTTACAAAGTTTCTTTGCTAAGAAGTTACTATAGAGCAATGTAAGATGGAAGGAAAGGATAAGAAAGAAGGGAACATAAACAACTAATGTTTTTCTAAAGTTTCTTTCCTAAGAAGTTCCAAGAGAGCAATGAAAGATACTCACAGATAAAGTAATCTCTGCCTGGTTTGAACTCATGATTGCTTCTGCTCTGATTCAGGTTGTGGTTTATGTTTTTGCCAGTGCCCGTTCTTCATCCTAGGTTTCTTTACAAAGTTTCTTTCTTAAGCTAAGAAGTTAGAGCTATGTTAGAGTAATAAAAGATACTCACAGATATAGTAATAATCTCTGCCTGGTTTGAACTCCAGTCCGTAGGGAGAAGGGCTGAACTCCTGGAACAGGATGGTGAGGCTGAGCGGTCTGTTGCGGTACGGCCGGTCACATCGCAACAACGCGCGTCCTCGCTCAGCATCACACCGGTTATACCCGTCTTCATCAACCTGGTTAGCAACAATAGGTTAAGTCAGATAACTTATTAACTTATCTTAAACTTACTAACTTATCAATAAAAACAATGGTGGTCACAGCGCAACAACGGGCGCCCGCGCTCAGCATCGCACCGGTTATAGCCGTCTTCATCAATCTGGTTAGCAACAATCGGTTTAATCAGATAATTTATTAATTTATCTTTAACTTGCTAACGTATCTAATGAATAAAAACAATTCTAAACACATAAACAGGTTTTTAATTAGAGAATCACTTAACAAGAGACCGTAGAAAAAAAGTAATCATACTACAATAAAGATACTTAATCAATTTTTGTTGCCCAAAACATACATATTTAAAAAATATCACACCTGATTCTACAAAAATAAAAAAAGAGGTAAATTTTGCACAGCAACCTTTAATTTTGTCTCTGTAAAGAAAACAAAAGCTGTATGTTAATATGAATGTGTGTTAATGTCTTTTCTAACAACTTACCTCATATAGAACGTTGTACTCCACCAGTTCTGTGGACCCTGTTTCGTAGTGCGGACAGAAGACAGTCACCATGTCATACATGTTAGGGGACAGGTAGTACCCTCCGCCGGAAAATCTGTGAAAAAACAGAGCAAAAACTTGGTTAGAACTTGTGAAACATCACAACAACACAGTATAACACAACACAACAGCAATGCAACATGGCAATTATAATACCTCTGAATCACCAAGTTACAATAATAAAATTTTATTCTCCAGGTTAAATATAACCATCAATTTAAAAGTGTGTTTGAGACATCTCTAGTGAAGCACTATGCAGTTTACAATGCAGGTATGCAGGAGCTAGGAGTGCACTTTACCAAGTGTTGTCACATTGGAGACCTGTTTAGATAGATGCATTATTTTCAGGGTGGTGAATATATGTGACCTGGCAATCACTTATACCTCCTAGAAAATATGACACCCCCTCCCCCATGAGATCTGACCCAACCCCCCCTGACCCCCCCCTCCCCAGTCCTGTCTCCCCCCCTCCCCCCTTTTATCTCCCCCCCATCTCCTCCCCCTGTCTGCTGCTGACAGCTCCACATTCCTAGGGTCATACTGAACAGATTGCACCATTAAGGAGGGACCCTATAGGCATGATTGACATGGGAACTTCCTCTAAGATATGCCATAGATATTCAAGACCTAGGGAGAGTTCATTTATTGAAAAGAGGGAGGATCGGTTTGTTACTCTGTTATTTTACAAAACAGTAAAATTCTTGGTGGCTACAGCTACAACGCATTACGTAGGATTAAAAGGGAGAATTATGCTCTACGAAAAATGTGCCACTTACGCTCGACGTTGAATTAGAGCGGTCCGTCTACGCTACACTCAGAATTAAAACAACCAATTCCACTCTCCCCTTCTAACCCTAAATCATCTAACCCTAAATCATGAAAAATGTTTGACAACCAATAAAATGATTTGTTATGGCCTAACCTACTCAACGAAACTTCCTCAAAACTTTCCAAGTACTAAATCTCTCTACAGACTACAGCCCGTTCTTTAACAGACAAATTGTCTCTTCTTGTTCCTGTAAAACTAATCAAGTTCCTGACGACCCCTTTGTTACCCTCTGTTACAGACAGTAATGGTAACATCAGTCTCGTCCTGACTCCCAAAAATAAACCACTCCTCCCCTCACTCACTTAGAACAGATGCACACAGTCTTTAGGAATGTTGTCATCCTTGTCTTCTGAGCCAGTAATATCTTCCATACAAGTCTTCAACATTACTGGAATGCTGTTGTTGGAAAACGTCTTAGCATTGCTTATTTCTTACCTAAAGATTCAACAACTTTCTAAGTAGACTTAATTTTAACTACATTGATAAGGAATGTTGTCATCCTTGTCTCCTAAGCCAGTAATATCTTCCATACAACACATTACAAGTCTCCAACATTGCTGGAATGCTGTTGTTGAAAAAGTTCTCAGCATTGCTTATTTCTTACATTGAGGATCCAACAACTTTTTAAGAATTCTAACTGTCATTTTTGTCTCCTAAGCCAGTAATATCTTCCATACATGTCTCGAACATTGCTGGAATGCTGTTGTTGAAAAAGTTCTCAGCATTGCTTATTTCTTACCTAGAGGAGCAACAACTTTTTAAGAATTCTAACTGTCATCCTTGTTTCCTAAGCCAGTAATATCTTCCATACATGTCTTGAACATTGCTGGAATGCTGTTGTTGAAAAAGTTCTCAGCATTGCTTATTTCTTACCTAGAGGAGCAACAACTTTCTAACTAAGAATTCTAACCACATGTACAATGACATCCCTAGACATAACTAGACATACGAGACAACAACAACAAATCCAGACTACCTATTCATTATCGCTCATCTTTTTCAAAACAGATGCTAAACCGCAGTTTCTTAAGAGCCTACTTTCCCTGTTAAACAAGAGACAGAGTCTTCTTCCCTTTTACTTAAAACCCAGCTAACATAAACTAGGTCAATCCTCCACATACCAGTATGTGACCTGTACTGAACTCCTGGGTACAATTCTAAACAGTCTAGTCCTATAATACAGGACTTTCTTTACTGTAAGAACAGTTTAGCATTCTTGCTATTTAAAACCGACTCAAACCAAGACCATGACATGACTTGAATGAGTGTGAAATTGACGACTTTACGACTTTAAATCATGAAGACAAGTGTGTTTATTTTCTAGGGCTACCAAAACAGTACATATTTTTCAAGACCCACTGAGAGCCCCGCCTCTATTTGGGGTAACTCTAAACAGGACAGTTCCTTTTCTTTTCAGAAAGTGTCTTACCAAACGTTTTCTTGAGTCATAATGTTTAAGAAGTTAACATGATTTTGGACAGAACTTTACATAGAAAAAACATCATATATCCTAAACGTGTATGTTATACTGTGTTAACATCCGTGTCCATAATATCACCAGGGTCCATAATATCGCCTCCTTGAGAAAAAGTGTGCTTAAAGATATTTTTCTGCAACAGACCCTAGGTATGTACATTTGATGTGTGAAGGAGTGCATACCAAAAGTATGTTGCAGTAAAAATATATTTAAGCACACTTTTTCTCAAGGTGGCGATATTATAGACCCTGGTGATATCATGGACACAGATGTTACTTGTTGCCATGTTTAAAATTTCTTAGGACTATTCTATAATTGGAAAATTGAACCCGCTCTCTTTTCTTTCTGGTTAACTACTTTTTAGGCAACCAATTATGGCCAATTTACAGGAATTTTGATCCTGCTAAGCTGTAGACAAGGGATCCACTAAAAAAACAATTAGCACATTCCAGTCAGGCCCAGATCTAGACAGCTATAAGACAGACAGGCTCATTCAATAACTAACAAGGTAAGACAAAGATTTCTAAGGTTCATGCTTGTTTCAACAACAATTTGTAATGGCCATTTCTAAACACTGAATGTTTACTGGAATGACCTGGTAAGTTTAACAGTTACAAATTGTTTAAAATGGATTTTTGTTGTCTAAAAAGTACCAGCACACACAGAATGAAAACCCCCCCCTCCCCACAGAAAAATGAGAATTTGGAGCTTTGGTACTTAAAATACTTTTATCTGTCTCCTGCAACATTGCAAGTTGTCAATTGTCAACATTCATACATGTAATCTCAATACATTTTTGCAGGTGGATACTTCAGCCATTGAAAATGTGCTAGTGGGTACTTAGTATATTTGCCTAGCCTCCATAGCATGCCAAAAACTGGGGATTTTGGGGGTGTTCAGGGTCTTTGGGAGCTTTTAATTTCTATTTTCTGATGGACAACATAGCCGGCCTGGTTGAAGTAATCAGAAAACAGCCGAAGACCACCAAACCCCCAGTTCTATAAGCCTGCTACGGAGGCTAATCAGAAAACAGCCGAAGACCACCAAACCGCCATTTCTACAAGCCTGCTACGGAGGCTAATATTTGCCTAACTCAATGACATTTTATCCAACTTTTCTGCCTAACTCTATGACTTCTATACTGGTCCCAGTCTGTCCTTGTAAGTCTCCAGATCAGATCTGGGAGGTTCATTACCGTCCCAATTCCCACCCTGCACACAGGTTAAGGTAATAATTGAACTAGCAAAAGTGAGGATCCCTGTAATAGGAGTTAACTCCCTCCCTAGTTGCTATAGTTATGCCTCTGGAAGTCAATAATGTGGTTCTTATAATGTCTTTGATATAAGAAAAGAGTCTATGTAAAATGGCTAAGACAATAAAATTAAACTGGTATTGCCTTAAAATCCTGTTAATTTGTAAAAATCATTTTATTAATTTTTTATTTTTTCAGGCAGCATGGCTGATATCGGGTGCCTAAAGATACACAAAGATACACAAATTAAACATACACATCATTTTGGTATATAGGGTGTGCCCATCTGTTTCGAGAGCCCTTGGGCCACACAGTTGTGCAAGCACTACAGCAGGGGGCTAGTCCATTGGTACAATGGTAGCGATGTGTGTTCAACTACATACCATAATCTTTCTCATAGTTGCCTAGTAATAAGAAAAGGAAGCATTATGTACCATTTTTATAGCTTTAGAAATGAAAATTGATACTTTCAAGCCTTCCTAAGTCTCTTACGTACATTTTTACTGAATTTTACCTTGTAATTGTGCTTTTTGCCTTGAGTTTGGCAGGCTCTACAGTTCTTTTTCCTTCTCTACATGAATGAGAGGAGAAGTCAAAAGAACACGCTGCTATGTTGTACATCACACTACTGAACAAATCCCTACCCACAGGGCCACCCCAGTGTGATATACACCAAGCTTAGCTGTAAGTCTGGTACATCAATCCTTATGTATAACACTGTCAGTTTTAGTGTCACAAATGGGCTATGGGGAATAGGGGATATATGCATCACCTTGGGATGTGTCTACTAAAACACAAGTTCAGCCAGGTTCAAGTTTATAAAGGATTGGACCATTGTACTGAAGGGAGGGAGTCTGTATTTTTATTTTACTGGGTCTATGACTATGATTTTTGTTGATTGTTTGTCTTACATTCGTGAGGTTGTGGGTTCAAATACCAACATGGTAATGCCTAAAATAGTACATACTGCTTTCTCTATTCAACACTTAGCGCATAAGGAAAAGGGTATGGGAGTTGAACACACACCACTACCAGTGGACAAGCCCCTTGCTGTAGTGCTCACACATCTAAACCTGTGTGGCCCTAGAGCTATAGAAGAGGAGATGGGCACTGCCCTATATACTATCATGTGAGAAGGATTCTAAATTCATTTTACATTCCATGTTACGCCTCAAGTTCTGAGTGATGTAAGAAGCTTCTGAAAAGATTTTCTGGGATTAATTCCGTGACAACAAAGGTGTGACATACGACTAGAGTAGGTGGAAAACTGGTGGTTTGGCCTGGAGGTAGGGAAAGCGAGGTCACACGACAAACAGGAACAGGTGTACATCGGCTGATTATCTGTGTAGTGGCATTCTCTGAGATTAGCAATGTCATGCTTATCTGTAAGACTGAGATACAGGCCTTAGGCAGGTACATGTACTGATGTAGCCTCTCCAGGGTTAAACATGTGGAGATATACAACACACTGATGAGGGTCTGCATGGGGGGATCCTG